TCCTTGAAGCCAGGAGTTGAGTTGAGTTTCCTCACCACAACCCCTGTGCCCTTGTCCCCGTGTACAGAAGCAGGAACTCACCCAGCACCACCCTGCCCCTGATTGTGCATCTGAAAATCAACAGCGTTGACAAAGGCCTTGGGCTGGCTGCAAACCCAGGGAGATAGGAGGACTCAGACAACAGCTAAGAGACCAGAAACTAAAACAGGCTTCCCCCTGGCTCAATGACTGGACCTACAGTATTCTTTTCTTTTTTTTAAGATTTTACTTTTAAGTAATCTCTACACCCAACGTGGGGCTCAAGCTCATAGCCCTGAGATCAAGCTTTGTGTGCTCCACTGACTGAGCCAGCCAGGTGCCCTGGGATCTACAATATCCTGATATCAAGATAGGAAAGGAACACCCAAATGATAAGACTTAAAGATCATTCTGATTTTTAAATGGGAAAGAGAGGTTAAAACAAAACAATTGAATAATATCCATTGTATTTGATAACGGTATTGATAGGGAAAGATCTCAAATTACAACCATTAATAAGTAAATGAGAGATAAAGGTGTTGTGACCACAGATATAAACTTCTTTTAAAAGAAACTTAACTAGAAGAGGAAAGAGGAGGAGAACACAAAAGCAAGAAGAGATTTTAGGATTAAAGGGGATGTTTTTAGGAATGTGCGGGCTAGAATATTTTACAGAACTTCCAAAGTGCTGAACTTAGGTAGAGGTGACCTGAAACTGCACAGGTAACATTTCCAGATCTTGGAACAACCGTTAACACTTGTGTATTGGCAGCTAAATAGACTCATCTGCCTGCAGCGGAGTTACCTCCACCTGTGCTGCTTGGGCTTTTGATACTATTATTTGTTACTTAATTAAATAGGTTCCTTCTGGCCCACTTGGGCTGGGTGCCCCACTTACAGAGCTGAACGTATGGTACCCTCCTGTCTGCCCCGATTCTCCTGGCATCTGTGCCCACCTCCTGGGAAGACCTTCCCAGCACCCTTGCTGGTGTTTTGCTCCACCCCCACATCTGCTGCTTCACTTAAGATGCTGCTTCCGGGACATCTTGCTTGAAGTTAGGCCAGTTGCCAATGACGTGGGCCGTCAAGGTTTTCAGTGTGACTTGTGACTCAGTTAAAAGTTTATAGTAGGCCTGACCCTTGAGCAATACGGGGGTTACGGGGACTGACCCCCTGTGCAGTTGAAAATCCCCCTAGAACTTTTGACTCACCCGTCAAACATAACTACTAATAGCCTACTGGTGACTGGAAGCCTTACCGATAGTATAAGTAGTCAATTAATACATGTTTTGTATGTTTTATGTATTACATACTGTATTCTTACAATAAAGTAATGTAGAGAAAATGTTTTTTTAAATTTTTGAAAAATATTTATTTATTTTTGAGGCAGAGAAATAGAGCACGAGTAGGGGAGGGGCAGAGAGTGAGGGAGACACAGAATCTGAAGCAGGCTCCAGGCTCCAAGCTGCCAGCACAGAGCCCGACGCGGGGCTCGAACTCATGAACCGTGAGATCATGACCTGAGCTGAATTCGGATGCTTAACTGACTGAGCCACCCAGGTGTCCCAGGAAAGAAAATGTTTTTAAGAAAATCATAAGGAAGAGAAAATACATTTATAGTACTATCCTGTAAAAAATCCACATAGAAATGGACCCACGCAGTTCAAACCCATGTTCACTCCAGAGTGAACTGTATATAATAATCTGCATCCCAGAATTATGCCCGGAAATTAAACTGATAGCAATGGTGAGTCCTGGGTAAGGGTAGTGGGAGAGGGGACTTGTCCCTATCACTTGAATTTTTTTAAGTGAGAATTAAATTTAAAAGGATCGGCCTGAGTAATCAAATTTGAAAATTAAAACTATGCCATGTCAGAGGTGGTACTAGTAAAGTGGATATGATTTATTGGATACGTCTGTCTTTCAACTTGGCATATTCCCTAGGAGAGATGTAGGTCTGATCACGTCCCATGAGTAAGGTTAGGCACTGGGCTTGGAGGAGCTCTTGAAGTTTAGCAGGTCTGGCAGTAATCTAGTCCAGGACCCATGGAATCTTCCCAACTGTGTGTGAATCTCAAGTCAGTTTGGCTGCTCCGCAAGAGGACCGAGAAAACCAGAGTGCTTCAAATAGTTTCAGTGTTACTTGTGACTCAGTTAAGAGTTTATAGTATGGATGGCTATATATGATCCGGTGGTAGGATTATAGTGTAGTTCTGAACATTTCAAAATGACTTTTGAAAGAATTTGCCATTGCTTATACCTTAGAAGGAAAATAGTGCTGTAGATGACTTCAACTAGATAATTCAAAATGTTGATTTCAGAGCCAAACATTATGTTTATCTTGAGTACGAGTGCATCTGATACAGAGGTTCACAACCCTGTGGGGAAAGTAAGGAAGCTGTTCTGCAAAAACTGGTTTCCAGAGTTCTTGAAAATTGCCCAGTTTCCCTCGCCTGCCCTTCCCGTGCTTCAACTCCTTTTCCCTCTCTGAACATAAGCAAGCATCTGAGCCCGCCTACCAAGCAAGCAAAGGACTGAGCTGGCCGCCGTATCCTTCTAAACTTGTCTGGCAACAAGATATGTAATGATGGGTTACTTTGTGAAGCTGGTACGGAATTTAGATACCTGGTGAGTCTAGAAAAGAAGTCATGTTTAGCCTGTGCAGAAACTAATCAGAACAGAGAACTGAAAATTAGGATTGTCCTCTTGATAGTCTGTAATTGACAAAAAAATGAAAGAATCGAATCTATCTCTGAGGTGCTGAGGGTCACACACAACTACATAGCTGTTATCCTCCATGAGGGCCAGACCCATCTGGGAAGCTCCAGCCAGTTTCTTCAACTCTCCCCAGTGCCGTTTAATGGGAAGGCTCCAGGCTCTACACTGGCGTGCTGAGTTATCAGGAACATGTCAGGATTTAGTTCGGCTTATGTTTATTGAACTGCTCGATACCAAATTCAAAGATGTGTCACCACAGAGAGCCTTTGTTGTCAAGAAGCCCCTGTTGAGTGTGGAAATCAGACCCTCAGACACTACTGATATTATATGGTACGTCTTAGGGGAGGGACACTTTGTGCAGCCAAGGAGGGTACAGAAAACTTTCAGGAGATAATACCTGAGGCAGATCTTGCAAGAGGAGTGGATGAGAATCAGGGTAAGGGCCCTCAGCAGACATTAGTGCATGTGCTGTGGGCAGGGGAACCACATGTAATTCCCATGAATAGGATATGAAGGATATGATGGGGCTAGAGAGATCTTGAATTTTGCCCTAAGGGTAGTGGGTAGTTATTGATTGAATTTGAGCAGTGAAATATTCAGAGGTCACATTTGCTTTTTAGAAAGAAAGATTGCTGGGACAACAGTGTCTGTAGTAGAAGGATAGGGCTAATAATGAAAATATCACCAATACTCACCACAGCTCAATTCCATCTGGGATTTATTTATTCAAACACTGTTAAAAAAATAAGCAAAGGGAGAGTGATGACAGATAAGAGGGCAGCAAGGTGCTTTCAAGATTCCCTGAAGCACACTCTCAAACACTGCAGCATGATGTGGGACTAAAGCTGTACCTCATAATCTGCAGCCTTGGGAAATGGAACGCACTTTCTCAGACAGAAACATTAAGTTTCTTGATCATGAGACAAGGGCACAACTTCCAAATAGTGACAGACTTTCAGACAGCAGTGCGGGTTCTAATCACAGGCGAGTTTCTGTTGGGCTTGTGCGGCCTTGTTTTGGCCACTTTTGCACACACACAGAAGTCCAACCTTAAGCAGGATCTCCTTCTGGTATTTGTTTCTGCCACTGTAAAAGGAAGGGACTGCCTTGGGACCTCTAAATGTCTAATATTAAGTGGCTTTCATTTCATATATCTGTATGTTCACATGTGAGTATGTATTTCATATATAAAGAGAGAGACATTCCATCATGAAATAAACACAATTTTCCTTGCATTTATTAGCAACTTGCTATGATCTGATTTGATTTTGAAGAGGCCATTCCAGCCATTAACTGGGAACGGACGCACTGGGGAGGAGCAAGAGTAGAGGCAGGAGACCAGCTAAGAGGCCTCCACAAGTGAGGGATGATGATGGCAGTGGGAAAGAAGAATTCACATACCCTGAATCAGAAGTGACAGGTTGCTGACAAGCTGAGAGAGGGCTGGGATAGGGCAAGAAATCTAGGATGAACCCGAGGTTCTGACCCAAGCAACTGGGTGGAGGATAAGACAGTGGAGATGGGAGAATGAAGTCCGGGAGGGCAGTGAAGAGTGCTCTTTGGGATGCATTAAATCTGAAGTGATTATGAGACACCCTCATGTCAAATGGAGAAGCTGGAAAGGCAACTTGGCATTTTCCTGATAGAACAAATAAGGTAAAATAAAGGATAGAGGTTTAATATAGGTTTTAGTGTATCAGTTCACATTTTTAAAAAAAGATTTTGTGTGTTTGTTTTGTTTGTTTTTAAGTAGGCTCTATGCCCAGCATTTAGCCCAGTGTGGGGCTTGCACTCACGACCCGGAGATCAAGACCTGAGCTGAGATCAAGAGTTGGATGCTTAACTGACTGAGCCACCCGGGCGCCCCTCAATTTTATTCTAAGTAATCTTTACACCCAATGCAGGGCTCGAGCCCAACCCCAAGATCAAGAGTTGCACGCTCCACTGACTGAGCCACCCAGGTGCCCCTCAGTTCACATTCCTAACCACTTGCCTTTATTAAGCGTGCAGTTGGTGCCCTGCCCTATACTAGGTGTTTTATATGTATTCCATTTAAACTTCTAAAGAACCCTATGAGGAAAGTGCTATTGTTGTTCTCAGTGTTGAATGAGGAAGTTGAGGCTTGAGAGGCTAGGCCGCTGGCCCCGCAGTCTGTGGTGGTAGACAGAAGAGCCCGGATTTGTGCTGGGCTGCCTGAATTCAGAACCGTGCACTGCCATCTTGCTGTGAGCACGCAGCTCATTGTGATTTTTTTCTCTTTTCAGGGTTTTGGTTTTTTGCACTGAATGTAGTCTAGACTCATCTTCACGGGCTTGTGTTGCCCCAGAATACTGTCGAAGGTAAGTTTTTAAAATTTAAATCTGTGTATTGGCAGTGAGATGGGAGAGTCTTCATCTTAAAAAGAAGAAAAGTACATTTTGACATTATCACTCCTTCCCCAGGTTGTTCCATGAGGGTCTTTAAAGTGGCCACCACATCATCACATCAACTGATTGCATTTCTACTTCAGTAGGTCCCTTTAAAAAGCACATCAATCTAAATGGTTGACACTGACATTCGGTACCTCATCCTTTTTATAAAGCTAGAATTTGTTATTAGGATTTAGCAATCCCACAGTTTCCTGTGAGCATATTCCTAGCTTGTCTGCCTCTAGCCTGTCCTTACTCCGGTCTGTAGTCCAACTTACTGCCAGAACCAGCTTTCTAAATGATATATTTACCTGTGTCACTCCTTTGCTTAAACAGCTCTCATGGCTCCCAGTTGCTACAGATACCATCCTATAAACCACTTCAAAATCTAATTCCAATCAATGTTTCTGGCTGCTTTTTAGTGAGCCCCTATCTGTTGTAGGCCTTACTAGGCCATTTTCTATTTCCCAAATATTTAGTTGTCTTTCATGGCTTTGTGCCTTGGTCAATGCTCTTCTCTTTGGTTAGAGTTTGGAATAAGAGGGGAAAATACAAGCTATCCACTCTTGTTTCCTGTATCTTTCCTACTGTCCCCTTCTCCCAGACCCTCTGGGCAGAATTTCTTTTTCATCTGTATTCTAGGAGGGCCTGTTATTATTACAGTAATAAAGCAGGGTTTTACAGTAGAGTTATTTATTTGTCTCTGCCTCCTTTACTAGTCTATAAACCCTTTGAGACTTCTTGGAAAGGAGCTAACTGGTTTTTCAGTGCCTATTGGCTGCTCCTAGATACCTTGCTGAGTGCTATGCGTATAGTATTTAATTTAATCCTTATAACCCCTCCTCCTGACCAGTATTATGGATGAAAATAATGAAGATCAGAAAGTTAAGTGCCCAAGATTACACAGCTAATAAGTGACAAAGAATACTGATTTTGCTCCTTCAAAGCCAAAGCTCATTCTGCTACACCACTCCAGCTGAGCCCTGGGTGGCATGTGGTAGGGACCCAGTAGATATTTATTGAATTGATATCTATTGCAATTTAAATAAAAAGGACTTTAGTTGATTCAGTCACGCCTACATAGAAATATATTGAGTGTCTATTAAATTCCAGGTATACAGTTTTAAGCAAACTGTGTATACAGACATTAATGAGATACAGTATCTGGTGTCAGAGGGTTGACAGTCTACTAAGGGAGGCATCTATGTAAGGAAGTAAAGTCAGTGGCATGTTATAGATCACGTACTAGATTTCAGACAAGATCCGCTGGGGACACTGAGGAAGGAATCACCAGTTCTGCCTGGTGGTGGATCCGGAAACACTTTGTAAAAGCTGAGTCTTGAGTGATGAGAGTAGGTATTCTCTGGCGGTACCCGGGGAGACAAAGGCAGAGGGGGTGGTACAAGCAGAACAATGGAAACCAGAAACAATCTGGCATATTCGTGAAGCTGTAAGTAGTTCATTACGGCTGGAACAAAGGGAAGAAGAGGTCTGGCCCACGACACTGGGAGACACAGGTGAGGGCTGGATCCCGGAGGGCCTTGAAAACATTAACATATTTGCCAACTTTTAGAGAAGACCTGGCGCAGATGCTGTGTGATGTATGGTTTTACTCATATCTGGTCATTAACACTTGTCGAGTCCTGTCCCATGTGCGCTGAAGCACTGCCAGGTCATGACTGTCAGTCACTTACCATGGATGGCAAGCTGGCGATAGCTCTGAGGCGGAATCATGTGCTGAAGCAGAAATCAAATGCTTATGTTGTCACGTCATCTTTGACAACTTTACTACCACTTGTACGCCCCCTCCAGGACCTTTTCACACAAGTGGACTTTGCCTTGACTTTTCATCAGTCTGGTAACACTGATACACTTGGCCCCTTTGTCACTTCACAAGTGGAACCCCTAACTCAGCCATATACTTCCACATTGCTTTCTTTATTTTCCCTCCATTTTGTCAAAAGGGCAGTAAAACTCAAATAGACCGTTAGACACGACTATAAGCCTTGGCTTCAAACAAGAATGTCACCAAGGCTTTTTCAAGAAACACCTTAAAAATATTAAGAATAGTTCTAAAACCACGCATGCACACACACACACACGCACACACACGCACACACACTCACACACGCACACAGTAAATTAAAGAAAGAACAAATAGAAAAATAGGTGTTGATATGACATATAGTAAGTAGACAGATACATGGTTTTAATCAGGAAAGATTTTTCGAAATAAAAATTGGATGCTAGGAGGATAGAGAGGCTGATTGGCAGTGAGGGGAAGGGCTTTCAAATGTGGTGTGGACTGCATAGATAGAAATTAAGTTAGCAAGTTGTGTGCCGAGAATAGGAAGATTTTCCAGAGTGAAGTGGTATGGTGGGTGCACGGGGAGTAGCTAGAAATAGAGCTGAAAAGTTTATGAAGTAAAAGTCTGCTATTCATGTTATGGTAATGGGACAGTTGGGAAAATCATACTGATGCAGAGGAGAGGTTCTGAAGCGGAGAAGTTCCAGATATTGGTTGGAATTGAAGGGACCTGATAAAAAACATTCTCTCCACTGCCTAAGTTCTAAACCACAGACATAGAGGGTGAGGGAGTAAGGCAGGTGGAGATCAAATTTTCACTTCTATTACTAATAAAGTTGACATAGAACTGGCTCGTTTCTAACAGCAAGTCGGTTTCCTAATACTCAGCTCTGGAACTTAACAGGTTTCTTTACCCAGCAGCACTATCAGGGATAGACCTGCCTCCTAGAAGAAGGGAGGAGCAGAGCAAAACTAAGGCCCCCACGGGAAAAGGGCTGGAGGAGGGGCACGCCCAGTCTCCCTTCCAGACTCAATGACTGGACAAGTCACTTCACCCTGACAGCCTGCGTTAGGGATATAAGGCCAACAGTAGTAAAGGGATATTGCCCCACATGGAAGGAAACATTGAGAGCCAGCAAGTTTTCCTCCCCTAACCCATGTTGGCTCTTGTCTCCTCATGCGTTGGTCTGAAGTATAATCCAGGTCTTGTGAGGTGTGTCCCTCCCCTCTAGGGCAGAGGGGGTCTCAAGACAGTCCTGCTCCCACTTTCAAGAGGACAACCCCCCACTACCACCCACTCTTCTCTCGGGTATTCTCTTGGGCAAAATTGATGAGCCAAATAGATTTTGCCCCCAGGTACCCTAAAATGGATCAGAACAGTATATAAATTAACATCAACTCCAAGGGTCAACAAAATTGTTTCAGCACTGTCCCCACAGCCACCCAGTTAAGAAAGCACTGTCCTGCTCAGGAGCAATAATTCCTGATCAAATTATATTCCCAGAATGCAGTACTCAGTCTTACTAAAGGCTGTCGCAAAGCCACGGTGGCATCCGAGGGAGGGATCTGAGAATCAATTTGAAGTCTGGAAAAGATGGGAAAGTGATTTCGTAGGCAAAAGTAGTGAATATCCCAGGCGATACTGGATGATAAAGAACCTCTAAGGTTCTTTGATCTCCACCTGCCTTACTGAGGGAGGGAAGACGGCTGAGGTCCTCTTGTTTGAGCCTCTCCAAGGTATCCAGTTAGCCCATGCCAGTGTGCGCCATCCATGACGTGGACACTTCCACCCGATTTGGAAAACTCTGCCAGCAGGAGGTGAAATTTGGAACTGGGCCTTTCCTATGTCTGGAAAAAACCCAACCAATGTACACTGTCTTCTGCTTTAAAGATTAATCCTTGAAGCATCTCCTTCTTTTTGCAATATTTAGGGATTTATAGTAGTGGCAGCCCCAGGTACCAAGTTCCCTCCCTCCCTCTAGAAGTTCCCTGCCTTCCTGCCTTTTAGGAGTATAGTGAGAAACCTCTTCATTTCCATTGCCTGTGTAAGCCGAGCACAAACAATTCAAACGTAGAACCTCACTGGTTTCGTAGCACATGCGCTGTGTGAAATTCAGCTGCCTCACAGCTTATGCACAGCAAATAATTGTTCCCCTCGTTAATATCTAAAAGGCCTGTATGAAGAAAGTCTCTTTTCCCTAAAGTCTAATCTTTGCCTCAGCCATGCCTGCTTAGGAAAAGCTGTGCCTGCATAATTCAAGGTCAGGCAGCAGCCTTCTGTACTTTGAGGCCACCCAAGCCTGCTAATGCTCTATTCCCTTTGCTGAGGCCAGCACGGCTGGCATTTGCTTGCTAGGCCAGAGTGGCCGATGTAGGCTGAGGCCGCTTGCACGGCTGACATTTCGATGAGCTTTTCAGTACCGTCGCCGCCGCCCGCCACCACCGCCACGACTGACTGTGGCCCATTTCTTTGCTGCCGCCAGCAAAGCCCACATGCCTGGTGTATGCCGTCTCGTCTCTATAGAAACAGCCACTTACCTGAAGACAAAGTTACCATAACTACAGTCACCACTAATGTCAAAATACAGCGTGGCTGGTGGTTTGTAAGCTTCTAATTCAGCCTCAGTAGTGTAAACCTGGTATTTGACAGTAAAAACTCGTGTGGCCTGATGCAGCCTCTACAAGGGTAAAGCATGTTGCTCTCTCACTAAAGACCAAGGCCCAAAGTCCTGACCCAACAGAAGCCTTAGAAATTCCATATGCATTTTATTTCACTCCTCCAATTTCCCTTCATGTGTGTTTACCAAAACTCTAGTCCCATGCACCAGATAGTATGGTCTTTGAGAGACCCAGTAAATAGCACTCTTTTTCCCTTGGCTGAGTTCTGTATCAATTGAGAAATCAGATAAAAGAGTGGGGCATTTATTACTAATAAAGCTATAGTGGGGAATGTGGCTTACATCTACAGGCAAGTGAAGTTCCTAGCACTGAACAGGCTTACCTAGTCCCAGGCAATTGTGAGGGGCCTTCATTTAGGGGAACTAGCACAGAGGAAAATGCATGCTCCTTGGGGGCAGCTGGCTTCCAAAAGGAAGAGAGAAGGGCTGACCTCACAGGCCTTGTTTCTCCTTCTGACATTAGAAAAGATCCATTGGGATGGGACTTGTGGAAGGTGGAGAGAGGAGCCAGAGGGAAAGCTCAGGAGAAGCGAAGGAGGGTTCCTCTTTTCCAGCACATTAAAATGGAAATGGCACAGAAATCATTGGGGTGTTTTTCATCAGCTGTGCTTGTAATGTATCATCTATGAGATACAGTCTATTTCTGTAAAGCAGAATGAGCACTTAAGGACATTTGTGAGGCAGTTTGCATACGACATCTTTCTAGGTAGGTTACTGAGTGTTTCCGGTGCTATTAATTTAATTTTCATGGAAAGAATAAGTTTGTTTCTGCACAACTGCCATTAACAGATGAGGGGCAAAACCAGCTCAAGAAAGCCTGTTTCACTTGCTGGAAGCATGTGTTTCCCGCAAGGAATGGGCAGCGTCAGTTCGTCTGGAGTGAGTGAGGGGGGATGATTAGCAGACCTTCCACTGTACCAATTTTACGGTTCATTTCATGTCCCATAAATACACATCGGTTCCCCAAAAACCCCATTAGGTGAGCACAGTAGATTTTTTGATGCTCTTCTCCCACCCAACAGATGAGGAAACAGATTCCCACACCAGAACCACGTTACCTGCCTCCCAAGGTGCTGCGTTTATCAAGAGATTCTCTGCCCACACAAAAGATAGTACGTGCCAAGCTTCTTTCTAGCTTTTAGATTTTGTAGCTATGAACCTTTTAAAGTATTAGAGAGGTTTTAAATTATTAGTTACCTGTATTACATGGAGATTTGTGTCAGTTTGAGTAATTATTGTTCAGTAATTACATATTTAATGAATTAATTTGAATGTTACATATGCTTTTAGTAGTTTCCTTTTGGTACATTTTAATTCATAAAATTTTAACCAATGATTCATTTTATTCTTAGGGGAAAAATTAGTACTTTTTATTGTCTTGCCCTAGGATAGCCCATTCTCATGTAAAAGTAAATTAACTGATATTTAGCTTATTAAGCAAATTCTCTTAAAATAAAAAAGTGGGATCAACCATTAGCGTGTACCCTTATTTCAGTTATAAAATACAGCGAGGGGCGCCTGGGTGGCTCAGTCGGTTAAACGTCCGACTTCAGCTTAGATCATGATCTCACGGTTTGTGAGTTCAAGTCCAGTCTGGCTCTGTGCTGACAGCTGGGAGCCTGGAACCTGCTTCAGATTCTGTGTCGCCTTCTCTGTCTGCCCCTCCACTGCTCACACTCTGTCTCTCTCTCAAACATAAATAAGCATTAAAAAAATTTTAAATATATATACCATGAATATTGAACGTAAACTATAAACCCAGGAAACCTGGACAATCTCAACGGCTTATGCTGTGCAGACGGGCCCACTTCTTAGGTGGACGTCCTTTCTCTCCGGTCACTATTTGTGCTGTATGAATTGCTGAAGATTTCACTATCACGTCTGCCAAAAGTCAAGAAAAAAGAGGAAAGAAATCTAGAACTGTGTAACACCCCAGTGCCTTAAACCTCTCCTAACTATCCTACCGTAAGATGGTGAAAATTCCCTCTTACGTCTCTGCTTTCTTTCTTACCGAAGATGCATGGGTGTACTTACACGCACACGCACGTGTGTTACTTACGCTCATCACTTCACTGTATCTATGGTCTTGGTGATACAATTTCAATCTAATCTTTGAAAAACCGATTTTTTCACTGAATTCCTTATTTTTTTTTTCTCTTCTTACCTCTTCCAGGCGGTATTTGTGTGTTTCTGCAGAGTTTTGCACAGAGTCTGTTCCAATGCAAACCAATGAGGGAGAAGTGTCGGAAGAAAGCAGTTCCAAGGTCAGTGGACTACTAAAGATGCAAACGGTTGGAGTAGGAATTAAAAACAGAGGCAGAGGAGTGGGTGTTTTGTTTTAGGTGAATTTAGGAATTAGCTTGATTTAGATTCAAACCTAACCTAAGGTTGAGAAGATTTTTTTTCTTTTTGATCTCCATTTTTGTTATGCCCCATGAGCAATTTAAAACAAATTTTACTGAACTCAGAGAACTTTATGCTTCATTTGTACAACGGTAGCACTTTATCTTTTAACATTTTATTGTGCAAGTTCTGTATTCTTATTTTAAAAATTAAAATGAGTCAGAAGTATTTGAGGTAAAAAGTAAAAGCCTGTCCCTTATTCCTGCCTCACAGAGACATTATTTAGACAGTTATTTTTAAATTATTTAGACAGTTTTTAAAAAATTTTTTTAACGTTTATTCATTTTTTGAGAGAGAGAGAGAGGGACAGAGACAGAGCACGAGTGGGGGAAGGGCAGAGAGAGAGGGAGACACCGAATCTGAAGCAGGCTCCAGGCTCCGAGCTGTCAGCGTAGAGCCTGATGCGGGGCTCAAACTCACAAACCGTGAGATCATGACCTGGCCGAAGTGGGACGCTTAACCAACTGAGCCACCCAGGCGCCCCATAGACAGTTTTTATTATAAATGTTTAAATAATAATTTGTTAGGTTTGGTTTTTCAAACTAGGGCTTGAATGTCACCATGTGTTTGTGTATATCTCTGTGTTTGACTCCATGTCCTGACTCATTCTCTACCTGGTCACGTGGGACTGTCAGTATCACCTTCATGTCTCTCTCCTTTCAAAATTGTCCCTAGTCCTTCCTCGGCACACCAAGGGTATCTCACCCTGTGTCCTGGACAGTGCCCAGCACCTATCGCTTCATCTGCTGCCCTGGACCTTCCTGAGGGGAGTCTTTCTGTTGCTGCCAGTGCTCCTGGTACCCTCTGTGGGAGGGCTTTTCCCTCTGGTCACTAGAATGCAATTTTGTATGACCTAATCGGTTTCTTGCAGAGACTTCAGCTGATTTAGTAAAAGCCGCTATTGTAAATACTGAAAGAAGACAAGTTGACAGAGTTATTATTAATGTAAAACTTCAGAAGCCCTTGAATCCTTTGGAGGCACAGTGACTATTTCTTATATTTTTCCCAAGGACCACTTCAGGGCTTATTTAATTTCCCTGCTGTGTACGTAAGAGAGAAAATTGAATAGCGCTAACACAGTTACCCATGAATCTGTCTTATTGTTCCACACTTTAGAAGTTAAATATGAAAATTATGTTCTGTAAAAAGTCTTTGATGACATATCAAGAAATCCAAAGGCGAGGAAATGTACTTCATTGGCCTGATTCCCTTAGAAAGAGACTCATCTGATCTAATTTATTTAGTATTTATGTGCCCATGTTGTCACACAGATCTGAAAGCAGATACTATTTTGTCTGTTATATGTGGCTTTGACTCATTGAATGCAGTGATCAGTTTTCTTAGTGCCCAGTCCATATTATACAGTGGAGCTGTGCATTACTAGGGAGATTCCAGTTCTAGTGTGGATTTACAGACACATCCTGGGCTATAGCTGTTTATTTATGTTTTCTCTTTTATTCTTTTAAAATGAGGTATTATAAAAAATGATACACATTTATAGTCACTTAATTAATTAATTCACAAACACTTAATGGGATGCCAGGTATGTGCTGATGTCCTAGGTGGCATGCAGAGTTACATAAGGCAGGGTCTCTGCATGTTGGGAACCTCTGGTCTCGTTGAGGGAGTTAACCATAGCATAAGGGTGACAATAGTGGTGTTAACTGTGGTATTGGCAGCTGGGTCAGAGCAATGAATTCCTTCTGGAAGGAAGCTTCACGATAGAGGAGGTAGCACTTGGGTTTTGTTGGAAAAATAAAAGCTTCTTTGTTTTTGTGGGTTGGTGAGTGGTGGATAGGAATAGGAAGGGCACTTAAGTAGAGTGAACCCTACGTAGCACATGTAACTGTTCATGAAGTCTAATAGGAGACAGTGAAAAGGTTTGAGTGTGTTTTTTAGATATCTTGCTGTGTATTAAACCACACCAAAAATTAGTGGTTTAAAACCACCATTACAATCTCCTGGGCAGAAGAATTCTGATTCATTTATGTAGATTACTTCACCCTCAAGGATGCGGAACATAACTTCCCCTTCCTCAAGTGTGGCTTCACACAGTGGGGAGCCTGACCAGCAGCATCTCGGCCAGGTGGTCAAGGTCTGCATCGACAGAATAAGTCATGGTTATAGATAGGATGGACCTTTGATGTGATGTGCTGAAATGGCACCTTACTTCAGTGGTCTTCTTCCCCCAAACCCATTACGCCACCCTAATCCTGAGAGAGACATCAGGCAGATCCCGATAGAGGGATGTCCTACAAAACACCTGACCAGGACTACCCTCAGAACTGTCAAGGGAAAACAAGATATGTCTAAGAAACCATCATAGCCAAAAGGAGCCTAAGGAGACGTGACGATGAAATGTAATGCAATATCCTGGATGAGATCCCGGAAAAGAATAAGAATATTAGGTAGGAAAAGAGAAAATCTGAATAAGGTATGGATTTTAGCTAATACTAATGTGTCAGTATTGGCTCATTAATTGTGACAAAGGTACGGAGATAAGATTAATAATAGGAGATACATATATGGGAAACCACTGCAGTGTTTTATCGTCTCTCGTGATCTGTGATTCACTGAGCTCTATAGGGCAGTTCTGCTCCAAAGTGGTATTGGCCGGGGCTGTAGTCATCCGGAGGACCAACTGGCTAGAAGTGTCCAAAATGACTCACTCACATGGCTGGCAGCTGGCAGTTCAGCTTGAGGCTGTTGACCTGAGCATCAAGGATCCTCTCCATGTGACCTCCGTACAGGGCTTGGGTTTCTCACAGCATGGCGACTGGGATCCAAGAGGGAGTACTGCATGCATGCAGAAGCCGCAGACTCAGAGGTCACACAGCTCTGTTTTCTCTACCTTGTGCTGAATTAAAGCAAGTCACAGGGCCTCCCCAGATTCAAGCCGAGGAGCCCTCTCAGGGGCATTCCACCTCTCAATGGGAGGACTGGGAGAAGATTTGAGGTCATCTTTCATCTACCCCATAGTGATTAGAGTGTTGGGTGCCAGTTGAAGAGAAGGGAATGACAGAGACCATTAGTCAAGATTGTCTTAGGCTAAGGAGGTTCAAAAACAGGCAACAGATTTCTAAAGCATGGAGGTGAGATGTGCATTTTACTTTTATGATTTGCTCTCATAACAACTAGTGTTGATGTACAGGAAAGACTAGAATATCTGTATCTTGACACTCAAATTCTCTAAAGGAAGAGAATCTAATTGACCTGGCCCAGCCTGTGGCCTGATTTCCATTGGGTCTTGAGTTCTCTGAGTAGGATGGCAGGGACCACAGATGAAGAAGGAGACACCATGAAAGGACACGTGAACCAGGAGGCAACAACCAGCCCTCCTAGGACAGTCCCCAGTCAATGCTGATGTAATCTTCCACTACATTTCTTACCAAGGACAGACTAGAATTTTTAATTTCAGCTCCACAGCTATTTTTCACTTTCCATTTAGTATAATTTAGGTTGATATTCTAAACGAGTTGGTGTTGGCTTACTAGTTGTAGAAATTCTGTAGCTACAGGCTTGGAATGTTTATTTTTTAAGTGAAATCTGGCAAGCATAGTAAAATCATCATAAAACGGAGCAGTGGAGGGTTTGTGATCTTCTTCTCTGTACTTCTTTGTGTAGTTAAGCGTTTTCTAATAAAAACAATAAAAAGACGCTCTAGAGTTTAAGAATTATAGCTATGGATTTAAGCGCCCATGTGTCTTTATTAATTACCATAAATAAAAAACACTTAATCAGGAAGCCAACATTTTAGTTATAATATTCTCTTTATTGTTCTCAGAGGTAACAAATGAATAAATGTAGTCTTCGTCTACAAAGGATAAAGTGATCTATTGATTGGCTTTACAACAAAGAGTTCAATGAGGTGATTTAGACTGTCTCCTGCTTAAGTTTTGGATCCCTCCATCTGAGACTGAATCCTATTTAACAAATTATAACAAGATTTTATGGCTTTTGGTATTTGAAGAGCAGACTGGGAAAGAAACCATGCAGGATAAGTATTTTTCCCATTTGTTTTCCTAGCTGGCAAACAACATAAATTAGATTGGATTCCACGTCTGGCTCCAAAGTCCATGCTGACTTCAGTCCTCCATCCTGAAGAAGTTAAATGCGGAGTAATCGATTCTGATTACTTCTATCAGAGAAACTTCTTAGATCGTTCACCTGGGTGTGCTAGAAGGCCTACAAAGGGAGTAGGTGCTTTGTGCATTTGAATAATTCATATAGGTTTGGTGTGGACACAGGCTTTCATTTCTCTTGGGTGAATAACCAGGAGTGGAATTGCTGGGTCATATGGTAACTTTGTGTTTTATTTTTTGAAGAACTGCCAAACTGCTTTCCAAATGGCTTCACCGTTTCCTATTCCCCCCAGAAATATATGAGGTTTCTAATTTGTCCATATCCTCACCAGTTTATTATTGTATGCATTTTTTATTCTAGTGGATATGAAATACTATATCATTGTGGTTTTGATTTGTACCTGGCATGCTTTTTAAAATGGAAATGAAAAAAATAATAATAAAGTGATAATAAGATGAGGGTGACCAGGCCCCACACTGGACTTACTGAAAGAGGATCTCAAGAGTTGGGACCCTGGGATCTATTTTTTTTTTATTTTTATTTTTTTAACATTTATTCATTTTTGAAAGTGAGAGAGACAGAGCATGAGCGGGGGAGGGGTAGAGAGACAGGGAGACACAGAATCCGAAGCAGGCTCCAGGCTCCGAGCTGTCAGCACAGAGCCCGACACAGGGCTCGAACTCTCTGACTGTGAGATCATGACCAGAGCCAAAGTCGGACGCTCAACCGACTGAGCCACCTGGGCACCCCTTGGGATCTATATTTTTCACAAGCACCC